GGTGCCCATCCACAATTACAGTCCATCATTCCATGCACTCTGTATGCTGCCCATCACGAAACAGTCCCGTGCTGCTCACTGCAAGGAACTGCGTGGCTAGCTCGAGAGTCTTGTGATGCTGGGTGTTTGTTTGGAACCCTCTTGCTTGTTGTGTCGAGAAACCACGCAGGAGCCTCAGCTGCTTTTCATTAGAAAAGGGGAAGTTTCCAGTCCCGTGGTTACAGAGAAGAGCACAAAGCTCATTGTAGCCTGAAATTTGGGCGAGCAAGAAGGCAAATATAAAAAAGGGCTAGCGTGAGGACCAGGAAAGGAGGAGCTAGTTCAGAGCTACTGCCAGGGTTCCCCTCCTTGACTTGGAAGTGGCCTGCCAGCGTGGGCTGAGCCACGAGGGGCTCGAGACAGTTTTCAGGAGAGGCAAGGACAAGAATGAAAAGAGCTGACAGCACCCCTTAACTTCAGCAGCAGGACCACCACGTAGCCACGCGTCAGTTGTTTAAGCTCTTTCCATCCAGGATGTTACGTGCTTTCTTCTGTCACTCTCTCTCTGTGACTACGCAGATGTCATTCCAGGGACAGCACGGAATAAAACACAGTGTATGTAACAGCTAAAGGGCAGAGGGCACGTTTAAAGCTTTCTGCAGTGGAAATGCATCTTCCTGCAAAAAGCAGAGGAGAAGCCTGTCATAACCGAACCCAAGGCTTTCAAAAGGCTCCGGAGCCAGCAGCTCTGCAGCAGTTTGCTGCTGTTTGGAGATGTGTGGGGTGGAACTGAAGAGAGATGCTGGGAACTCGAGCTCATCTGGTGTGTCCCCTGGCATCTTTCCCAGGTGGTGACCGTGGCTGTTTACAGCTTCTTCCTGGCCTGTCTGATCGGGCGACAGTTCCTGGATCCAGAAAAAGCATATCCTGGCCATGAGCTAGATCTCTTCGTGCCTGTCTTTACATTTTTGCAGTTCTTCTTCTACGCTGGCTGGTTAAAGGTAAGTTCACAAAAATACGTCTGGAGCCGGAATCTGACCCAGCCAAGGGTTTTTCCCAGTGTGTGCTCACCAGGGACCCAGGTGCTGGCAGACAAAAAAGGGAGTCAATGGGGGCTGTGGGTATTGCCAAGACCTTCTTAGTTTCTGAGCATCTCACCTTTCCTAAAAGCTTTGGTCCTGACTAGTTTGGGGAAAGAGAGAGGCACTGGGCTACACTTCACCTGCAGCAGTGGTGAGCAAGGGGCAGTTATCTCTGTGTACCAATGTCTCCCAGCCACTGCAAGCCTCCTCTAACCCATCCCTCCTTGGGAGGAACAGCATTGCTCCGAATTCAGGAGACATCACACTTGACTCTGCCCCACAGGCCTTCTCCCTGCAGGGAAAGGGGCAGGTATGACCACGATGACCCTCGCTGTGTGCTCTCCACATGCAGGTGGCCGAGCAACTCATCAACCCTTTTGGGGAGGACGATGACGACTTTGAAACCAACTGGCTCATCGACAGGAACCTGCAGGTAAATTGAAGGCAGGATCCTCCAGGTGAGCCTGACCTACAGAGGAACACTAAGGCAGGACTGCACCTGAGGGTCTAGCAAGCTCCATCAGTACAGTCACAAAGTTCTCCTGCAACAGCTCTGCCGGCCACCTCCCCTGCCTGCCATGGGGCGGAGAAGCTGTATCATTCCTGTCTCTCCCTAGCTTTTTCCACCCGGTATCTGTATCTAAAAGGGCTGCCTCTGCTTTCTTCCACACAGTAACTTTCCACCTTCAGCCCTTCCTAACGCTGAGCCCTTCTGTCCCAGGGAACGTATTTCCTTCCTGTCTCCTTCAGCATCACTTTCTTTCCAATTCATCAAATCTCTCCGTGTGAGAAACAACCCAAGTGACAGGAAACCACAGAGCAAACCCAGCCGCTTGCCTCGCTTCCACGCTATGTCGCTTCCTCCTGTCCTGCATTCATTCCTTTGCCCACTGATAACAGGCACACAGAATTCTGCTCACCTCGTGTGACGTTTCTGCTGTCCCCTACAGGTCTCCCTTATGGCAGTGGACGAGATGCATCAGGATTTACCCATCCTGGAGAAGGACCTATACTGGAATGAGCCCGATCCGCAGCCACCCTACACCGCAGCCACTGCTGAGTACAAGCGCCCGTCGTTCCTTGGCTCAACTTTTGATATCAGGTGAATGCAACCACAGGGTGTCAGAACAGGCCACACTTACACCTCGGATCAGGTCTTGTGCTTGATGAGTAAGAGCTGCGTAACAGCCCATTTCACCTTTCCCAGCATGCAGAAAGAAGAGATGGAGTTCCAGCCCCTGGAGCAAATTAAAGAGAACGAGGAGGCAAACCACTCCACACCGTTACTGGGACACCTGGGCCGCCTCCTCGGTGTCCAGTCACCAAGCTTCTCCAGGTCCTCTTCCCGGATGAACCTGCTGCGCAGGCGAGGAGACCCCACGTCCCCCTTCTCCCATTATACGTACCAAGACATGGGCAAGTCTGGAAGCCCTTGCGGCATCCATCAGCCAAGGGGAGACTCCAGCTCACAGGAGCAGTGGGACAGCGAAGATGGAAAACTGAGGGAGTTTGACGCCTTCATGTCAACCCCATTTTATGAGAGATCTGGTTTCTACAGTGCTCCACAGACACCCATCAGCTCTATCCCCATGATCTTCCCTTCTAGACGCCAAGGCCGCAAGAAGCCTCCTGCACTCTCCAGCATCGCTGCATGCTCAACGTCTCTTAGGGATGTCATTGTCAACTCCTCGCCTTCCAGAGTCAGCGATACGTATAAAAGCCAGAGCTCCCTTGGCTCAGGCGCAAAGGAAACGTTTATTTGGCCAACAGATCGGAGCAAAGGTCCTGACTCACTGGTTTTAACAGTAGAAGAAAAGAGCAACTCTAACAGCAAAAGCAGGGAAGCTGCCACCACAGGAAGTCCAGGAGCTCAGTCCACAGCATCAGACAGCCCTAAGTTCCCCTTCTTGGCAGAGTCCCCAGACCACGAGAAGCACGGTAGCTTCAAGAGTCTGAAGAGCTTGAAAGGTTCCTACCCACCCTGGCTAACCCTGGAGAACGCAGCATCGGCCACCCCCAATTCTGAGCATTCGAGTGCCTTTCACACCCCCAGCAACAAAACCCCCGGAGGCAGTGCCTCCCTCTGCTTCTCATTCACTCCTGTAACATCTCCCGTGCTGGAGAGATCCCACATGGGGAACACGGGCCCTGATGCTCACAGCGTAAGTTTAGAAGATACAGCCAGCGCTCCAGACCAGCATTCAGCAGAGGTTTCCCGGGCCATGAGAGAGACTGGAAACGGAAGCACTAATGCTCCCCCTACAAAAGAGCCAAGACGAGCAGAGAGTCCGTCCCCCAATGACTCTGGCATCTCTCTAGCCGAAGGTGACTACGTGGGGCTGATGGAAGTCATCATGGAGACCAGTGAAAGCACATGCGAAGAGCAGATAGATCAGTACAGCTAGAAGAGACCAAGAGACACAGAGTTCTGTTGAGATACGTGCCATATTAATGACATTGCAGTATCTTTACACCTGGCCACACTGGCACTCACCCCAACAGAAGGGCAGTGCAGCCTACCACCTACTGCTGGAACATGCAGCTAGAGCCCAGCCTAGGCTAAAGCCAGCACTAGTGACATACTGCTACCGGCCTCAGGTACAGTAGCAGGCACAACTTCAGTGTCGCAACAATACCAAACCAAACAAAAATCCCTTTCTATTTGTAGCAGAACAACAAATAAGACTTTGAGCGTTAAGTATTGCAGGTACCCATCAGCAGAGGATTAGCTCAGCAGGTACCAGCCTCAAGAACCTGAAGTGCAGACGTAGCTCAGAACAGAAGAGGAATGTAGTTACGATACGTCTCCCTTCCTCATCACAGCAAGAATTAGAACTTGAGCTTTTTGTTAACATTTCTCACAAGACCCATAACAAGTCTCAGGCAGGACTTGCACTACTAACAAGATACTCCAGGGAAAGTAAGGGACTGAAGCAAGTGACATCATTTGTGATGCAAACCCATAGTGCTTCTGGAAGTCATGTCTAGCTGGTGTTTGCCAGCACTGGAAAAGTAATAGGCTAAGGCAGGGCAGGTGTCCACTCAAACTGGTGGCTGCAGTCAATGGTATTTGCCCAGCACATTGCTTCCATTTGAAGTTCCACATCACATCTGCCACTGATTTGACAGTGCTCAGAGAAGTCCTCTGCATGGTAGGAGACACCATACAGCTATGAGTTTTTACTGTCTTCCCTAAGAAAATAAAAGCAAGGCTGAAGTCCAGGACCATCCGTTTTGTTTCCTCATTTTAGTTTCCACGCAACAATAGGAATTTAGAGGAACCACATTGTTTTCCTACTTCATCTTCAGAAACAGCTGCAAGAACTCCCCATCACAGGGGGCACATGACAGGTTTACCTCCCACTTCCCTTTCCCAGCAGCTGCCTACCCTCTCTGCCTTCCAAGTTTAGCAGCTAGACCCAGGCAGATGCTGCTGCCACCACCACCCCGCAGCTCCCAGCTGTCCTCAAGACAGCTCCTGCAGCGCTGCCGCTGCAGTTCAGCCTGATTACAGTACACAGCTCTCCAATCTTGATTCACAGTACGTTTTCTCCATACACAAGTGCAGTGCCATTTGTCAGACAGGCATGATGCCTACTGAGGTGCCAACTTCACCCTTCAGCAGCCTCATCTGAATTCACAGGGACCAATTCAGCAAGCCCAGATAGATACTCAAGCCTTCCTTTCCTTGTGCATTTGTTACAGCAACAGCTTCGGTGGCAAAGCCATTTAAAAACACAGCTTTAGTCACCGAACAATTCCTGCAGTAGATCCCACCAGACTGGTAAAAATGTCACTTTTTATAAAAGCAGTAAGTAAAATCTAATCCCTCTAACACATTCCTTCATCCATGCCTGACTTGACTGTCACAACAGAGACTACGGAGCACACACAATCCTGCAAGCAAAGGCCTCTCACTCCCGACAGAAACAGGAAAAGCCAACTTGAACCAAGTCACTTTATTGGATGGAGGGCAATACACAAAACACAAGAGAAAAGAGGGGTGATATTTGGTACAGAATATGAGAACTGTTTATCTAAATAGCAGAAGATGCATGCATGGCTGGACAGTAAAGTAGGAGTCCCACTGAAACCCACAGGGTGGCTTTTGGCAAGACTTCAGCTCTCATTGTCACTGTCCCCAAGGGTGTGCTTGTCAAAGAGGTACTCTGCCATGCCATATTTTGGTGCCCCCATCTTCCGCAGGTTGGTCACGTGGTCACCCAGCTCTTTGATGGATTTCACCTGTTCATCCAGGTAGTGGGTCTCAATGAAGTCGCACAACTGAAAGGGAGACAGAGGAATTTAAATTTAGGCCTGAACACAGCTTATCCTGGACCTGAAATCCCACCAATCCTCTCTAGGGAAAGGAGGAGATACAGAATGACAATTCAAAGCTGCAGAAGATCCTCGACAGGAAGAAGCCTCTGGTTTTGCCTCAGCAGTGCCAGAACAAGACAAGAGCGAGGCAGATTTATCTAGGCACACTTGCTCCAGAACCCTGCAGTACAGTGGCAGCTCAGGAAGCCTCCCCTCTTCCCCACTACAGGAAGCAACAGGAAAGTTTCTGAACATATTTAGAAGCCCCCACTGCACAGCACTTTGATTCATACACCTGGAAAATGGTCCAGTGGTGGTGTTTCTTTTTAAACAGAGCCCCCTCTAACTTATGCAAGGCACTTCCAAGAGTACTTGGATTCAGACACCCACTGATCTCTTTCTGATACTAAGTCATCTCAATCCAGCCTTGCCAATAACTCCAATCTGTGAGGAAATCCATGTTTTCAGACAGTGTTGTGAGGTGTCAGGGCTTCTAACATTCAGAAGTGACTCCAACATCTTAGGCCAAAAGCCTTCCAAGCATCTGCTGGTTTAAAGACAGAACTCATCCCCCACAGAAAGAAGCCTTCTCCATAGAGCTTAATACATTTGTTCTCTTCAAAATGCTGCTCACATGATAGCAAAAGAAGGGTTTGAACAAAGCAATGCACCCACAGTTCTGTACTCAGGCCTCAGCCACCCCAACACGCTACAACTGGTCCTCCTGGAAAAAGATGGCAATAACCCTGCCAAACAGCTAAGGTGCAGGCTGATACCTGGGCCCTTCCCTTTGGAAAGGCTGCACCACCACTTCACACCCTTTTTTCACCTTTAGGAACAGCAGGGACCCACAACTCTCTCCCAAACCCCATGAGACACATACAAACCCCCTCATTACACAGCTACATTCTCAGCTTCAGCATTTACTTACGTGTGGGTCATTCTTTTCAGTTGCCAATTTGTGCAGTTCTAACAGTGATTGGTTCACGTTCTTCTCCAGGTGCAGAGCACACTCCATTGCGGTCAGTCCGTTCTCCCAATCATCACGATCTGGCTTCTAGAAGGGGAAAGCACATGACCATACTTTCTGTAAGTACCCACAAACCATTAGGGAGCAAAGTCTGTCAGATCGGTCTCAAAACCCGTTTAGGCCAAGTTCAGGCATTTGGGTATCTTCAAAAGCTTGGCACACACTCTGAACAGAACTGAATACATACTTCCAGTCCCAGACCTGTCCCTATTCCCTAGGTTCCCCTCATGTTATGTTCACTGACCTCTTGTGGGCAAGACAGCTACCAGAGCTACCTTCTTCCTGATACAATCTAATGCCTTAAACATCTGCCTATGTAAGCAGGCAGTAGGCACAATCTCAGAAGTGAGGCAGTTAAGACACCAGTACAAGCAAGTCTAGTCTTCAGCCTAGCATCATCTGGTGTTTACAAGTACTCAGACTTACTAGTAAGCAAGGGAATTCTTCTCAAGTGCCCATCACTTACTTTGTTTTCTGTTTTCCCCATGATGAGTTGTCTTGTATTAAACTAACCCTACAACACTGCTTACTTTCTGCTGCTCTGAATAAGCTAATTGAAGTGACATCAATAAAACAGCGCTATGAAATTTTGCAGTGAGCCATAACAAGCAATTGGAAACTTTAGATTTCCTATTCCCATAGCAAGCAAGTCAAGAGTTTTCTGTAAAACAGCATACAGGACAGAAAAGGTTCTTGCCATTAAATTTAAGGTAGATGAACTAGTTGTGTTCTAGGTACCCTCACCCCACAGCAAGCCTAGAGGGCTAGGCATCCTCTTCTTACACAGGAAGTACTTGTTATTAGTCAATCAGCACAAATTATCAAATTACTATGCATCTCTAGATTTTGAGCGGAGCACCACGCACAGATCACAGCAATACAGTACGCTTATCTACTGTCAGCTGCTGCTCCTTCTGGGAGAAGGCCCACAGGGAAATTCCTCCCCTTCCAGCCTGGAGACAGACCACAAGTCTAGTTCTGCATTAGAGAGGACAACCCATAGCTCCACTCCTCACCTTGATGTCCTGCAAGAAGATGCGTCCGCCCCTCTGATTTTGTAGCTTCATCAGTTTCTCAGCATGCTCACGTTCCTCATGAGACTGATGCAGGAAGTATTTGGCAAAGTTTTTCAGAGCCACATCATCCCGGTCAAAATAGTAGGACTGAAAAATAAGAATTTACATGCTCAAAACCCCAAGTCTCACTCCATCAGCCACACAAAGCCAAGTCCATACTTTGACTTCAGACATGTCACCTATCAGCCCTGCTTCAAGATGGCTGGAGTCCAACCCAAGGCTAGCAGTAGCACTGACAACACCAAGGCAACGTGGCAAAACTCTTCCCTTAAAGGCACGTTAGATTTTCCTGACTAGGATAAATTTTAACTTGTCTCCCTACCATGAACATCAGGGATGCAAATAAATAGTATTTGTGGTTCAGTTCTGAAGATACTAAAAACCACACAGATGTTTGTTCTGAGCAGCATTCAAATGCCTTAAACACAGCAGACTTGAAAAGCCTTTTTCAAGAAGGAGAAACCTTACCTGCCCCCTTTGTTTGCAGTGATTACAAGTCAAGATTCTGCCGTACAGTACCAATTAAGGGTGGCCAAGAACTTTAAGGTAGTTCTGCAATAAAGCTCCCATGCTTCACTAGGCTTATCAGGGCTTAGACTAAGTAGTACACTTTCTACTTTGGGGGGAAAAAAAGTCAGTATCACATTTAAAAAACAAAAGCTTAACTGAACTAAAATACATATTCAACAGCAAATACAAGATAAAACTTTTTTGAAAGTCCAAGAAACTGTAACAGCAGTTAGAAGCCATCACACAGCTTGTTTGCTCTTTGGGCAGAGCCATTAGGCAGGATTCAATGGAAAGCTTTGTGTCAGCTGCCAGCTATTTACCAAACTACTACAGAATTCTCTGCTCTTAAACCAGCAGCTTGGAGGTTCAACACAAGACACTAGTGCTTGCGAGACACTGGTGCTCCACGTACCACAGATCATCCACCAACATAATTACATTTAACTTGTAGCTGAGGTTCAGACCTTCACACTAACACTGAAGCAAACTGTAAAGTTTACACCTACATGCCACAACATACTACAGTGTCACAAGACAGTCTCAAGTTACCTGCACGTCTAAAGCACCAAGACTGCTGCACAGAGGTCAGAGCTGCTGTTTGGACCAACGTTACTCATCTCAGCTATGGGTAAAAATGAAGTCTCATGCCAAGTGAGACATATAAGCCCAACGCCAAGGAAACCACGGATTCCTACCGATTCACTTCAAAAACTAGGAACCAAAAACCTTGCCTCAGAGACAAGAACGCCTGTGGGAAAGGTGCCAATCGCGTCGTTAGTCAACTCCCCGCTATCCAGCCCAGCCCCAAGGGCTTGGAAGCTGCTGAGCTGTGCTGATAACAAGTCTGCCAAGGGCAACGGACAGAGAGCGGTTAACGTGTAACTCGAGTTCGCCACCGAGATAAAGGCCTCACCTACAGAAAACAAGCGGCCGCCCCACCCCCAGGGGAAGGCTGAGAACGCCCCGGAGGAGGAGGAAGAGGAGGAGGAGCACGGCTGCGCCCGCAGGCACCGCCCGGCAGCCGGGA